CAAAATACCCAGGCGTGATTCCCAGCACCCACATGGAGGCTCATCACCTCCTCCAGCACCAAGGTACACATGTGATGTACACCATACATGCAGGCAAAACATTCATGCACATAAAACAATAAAAATAAATCTAAAAGCTTTTAAATGTGATAGCAATTTTGGAGAGGAGTAAAAAAAAATCCCTCCCCCACAAAAAGGCATTTTGTTGTTGTTAACTGGCCAAAAAGTAGGAGACAAGAATCAGTCAGATGGTCTAGCACTGAGTTAAAAATACATAGTAAAAATGAAGGGAGTAAAATAACCAAAGAAATGATTTAAGAAATTTTCTTAGAATTAAAAGACATGAGTTTCTCGGGAAAGGGGCCTACCAAGACACAAGGCAAAATACTGACAGCAATGTTCATAGTGGTGAAGTCCTAGACTACAGAGAACAAAAAGAAGATTCCCAAGTTTTGGGGTTGGGGTAGGAATTATAAACACTAAATCCAGAATCTAGATCAATTCAAACTAACAGTGACTTCAGAATCTAGAAGACAATGGAGTCATGCAATCAGATTTTGAGGAGGAAAATTACATACAGCTTGGGACTCTGTGCAGAATTTTACAATTATGTATAAAGACAAAAAGAATAAATTTTCAGTTGTAAAACATTTCAAAGTGTATCTCTCATGCATCCTTTGTAAAGCTCCTGGAGGATGAGGTCCACCAAAACAAGAGCATCAGTCAAGGCAGGGATGCACACAGGGAACAGGCTCAAAATTATAGGTGCTGGAAATCTTGGGAAAACACCAAGTAAAAAACTCAGAATGATAATAGTACAGAATGCCAAGAAAATGACTAAGTTAAAACAACTCAGGAGCCTGGAATAGAGAATTTACAGATGATTTTAGTCATCAGCCCATAGGAGACTAAACAAACAAAAAGGCCTTCTTTTTAATAACCCCAACTAGATCAACTGTGAACAGCATTTAGAAGATAATATAACATCAATGCTGACTACAGAGCTAAGCAAAACTGCAGGCATGATCATATTAGAGGAATGACTTGAAGGAAGCATTTGCATATGTAGCTAGCAGATAGCAAGTATTAGTGGAGAACTCAGCCATTCTCCACTGGCATTCCAACAGCTAAAACCTAAAACTGAAAGAGAAAAATCAAAAGTTGCATATTATTTGGAGCTCTAAAGGCAAATTGCTATGGAATATTGACAAGAGTCAGAAACAATGCCTCTGGTAAGTCCAAAAGTGGCAAGAGACTTTTTCCAGATAAGACATGTCATTTTCTGGTCTTACATAGATATATACCTAACATGGATGAAAACAAAAATCGAATTTCTTTCTAAAGCAGGTTTTTGTTTCTACACTACAGAGCAAGTGATGTTGTGTGTAGATCACTTCTAATTCTGCACATTAGAAACACATTAGAAAAACTATGATCTTTTCATTGCTTGAAAAATGTATTTCTCTCTGTCTTTTTATAGTAAATGCATCATTTCATCTGATATATCAAGGTCGGTAGTCAGATTTATAAATGATCTAGTAATAAGCAAAAAGCATTTGTCTGTTGTTTGTTTGTACTATGGGACAGCAAGGTATATTCTATGGCCCAGGTTGACCTTGAACTCACAATTCTTTTGATTCAGTTTCCTGAATGCTGGGATTACAGACATGTACCACACACCCATATAAGATCTCCTGGTGGGGTGAGTGGAGAGGGTGTGTTTCTGCCACAGATATCTATTTACTAATGTGTTTTTAGACTATCCTTAGTACCTGAAACAGACAAACCCTGAGTGTAAATGGCTGGCAGGACTTAACCACCTGCCTAAGCTGTCATCGTGTCCAGTTTCTGTTGGAATTTCTGAAAAAAAAATGATGTCTCCTTTACACTCAAATTTTTATCTGGAATTAAACGCAGAAACTTTATGAAAAGACTTGGATATTCAAATTTTATTATCTAAGTGTTCTCTACCACCACCACCCCATGTATAGAAAAAAAAATGGTCACCATCTTGTGGTAAATACCATACATAGCCAAACAGCCCCTTGAGAAATCTCATCTACTTCTCCCTGGTTCTCAAGGCTACCTGAAGCCAGGCCTGCTAAACTCTCTATTGCCCTCCTCCCTGGGGGTCGAGATTGTCATCACTTTAGCCACTACTAGTGTAAATGCACCTTTTTTTTAATAAATCACACGAGCTCAGGCATATATATTTTAATTATGCTAGACTTTTAAAAGTTTTTCAACTATTGACTTAGATGGTAAACCCTAGGAGATAAGAATTATTTGAGTGGGGGGGGGGTTTGGCTGGTTGGTTGAGTGGGTGGTTGCTTTTTAGTTTTCCTTTCTAAAGAGCATCATGTAGTCACAAGAAAATTTAATAATATTATTACTGGGGTGGCCACAGGTCAGTTTTTGCCAGTAAAGATACCTAGATATCCACAATTTGATTTCAAAGTTGAAATGCTGGGTTTTTTGGTTTTTTGTTTTGTTCTGTTCTGTTCTGTTCTGTTCTGTTTTCCAAAAGAGGAGGTGGGAAGGGCTATAAGGATGGAAGGTGCACTGTGGCAGAGTGCAGGTCCATTTTTACATTTGGAGAAATACAACCCAGACCTCAGAATGTCAACTCAAAGACCCGGTCTCCCATCAGCTCCCTGTTTCACAGAAGACACACATGATTCAGTGCCTTGCAATACAGAGAAGCTGCATCCTGGGGTATGTGCTTCTCGGCCTAGAGTGCTTCCCAGGACATGGCTTCCCCGTCTAGGTGATTATTATCTTACATAAAACAGTGCCCACTACAATGAAACCACAGGTTTACTGCACGGGTCTGGCATGGTTTCAGGGCATTCTGGTGGCTTAGTTCCTTAAACCCTGCCAGTATCCCCAAGATGTGGCTGTTGCAGAAGCCCGCTTTACCTGCCTGAAGAGTCTGGGGTACAGTTTAACAACCCAGGATCCACTGAAAACATACACTAAACCCCCACTCAACACCTTGACAGCTCCCCTTCCCCGAAGTAAAGGTTCAGATCTACAGGAAACACCCTGAGAGCTTCCAACTTTCTCTACAAAGAGTAGGAAATTGAGAGGAGGTCAGCCTGGAAAAGAAACTTTTTTTGTTTGTAGTTTGGAAAATCGGCCATATCACTGTTAGAGACAGATTCTAGAGAAAGAATAGTTTGATTATAACCTTATCGCCTGTAGGATACACACACCGGTCTAGCAAACTTCCACCGTTAAACTGAACGGGAAATAAAAGCAAAGAGATCTGGGTATATCTCCAAACCTGGTGTATTTAAAAATAATAACATGGGCAGCATGCAAGCTGGAGTCCTTTTAAACCAGGACACAGCAGTCCCTGGGCCCTCTATGGCACTCTGGCCCTCCCAGCACCAGGGCTACGGAGCAGAGTGCACAGGGCCACACAGCCGCACAGACAGATCTGCCAGGCCTCTCATCACAGGCCACTGTGCCAAGGTCACCACCACCTCACTGAGTTCAACAAGGCAATGACAAGGTTTGCAAACCTTGGATCTAGCCAGGAGGAGGTCACACCCCTATCCCCAGCCTGCTCAGAGCTGAAGGAGTACCAGGACTGCCCAAGAGGCTGCCTGCCGTAGCCTGAGGACTAAGAGTGGAAGAAAAGTAGATGTGGGTTTCTTGCCCCGCAGCGGTAAATCTGCCACCATAGGACAGAACTTTTCTTTTACATAACCAGTGCCCTGCTTCAGTGCCTAACAATGATTCTGTGCAGAGGGCCTGGGTTCTTATGGTCAGACTTGTCCGCTCCACACTGTTTGCAACACCTCTGAGCTCTATAGGGCATGCTCTCTCAGTTCAGAGTGGCCGAGTTGGAGACAGAGGCCGCGGCGGCACCACTCTGGAAGCCTTCTCTGCCTGCTTCACCTGTCCTATGTCTCCGCGCTTCATGCTACACTGTCCTGAAACAGGCAGGTCCAGGTCCCAGACGTCCAAATTGCGGACAAGTCGGGTGCCTAGCTGGCTCGGATCCCCCAAGTCTCAACGGGACAGCACCCCGGGGCGTCGGAAGTTTTGCGGGAAGGGGGGAAGGGAGGAATACCACGGATATTCCGGGCGCCTGCGCACCAATGGAAAGCAGAAGCCGGATTTCCCGAATATTGTGAACCCCAGCCGGGACACCCCGACTCATTGCCCTCTGCGGGAATTCCGGCTTCTTCAGCCATCTTCACGACAGAAACATGGGCAGCCGCGGGGGCGGAGGGGGGGTTTCCTCTAACCAAGGTCACAACCCCCAGTACTGAACTCTGTCTAGTTTGGCCATTGTTCCAAGCACTCAGCTAGTACGGGAGAAAAGCCTGGAAGGGGACCGGTGGGAAGGAGGCTCCGCGCGGGATCCTCCCGCGTGCGCTCCAGCCAAGCTCAGCTCTGCGCTCTTTCAGAGTCTGCGAAGCCCAACGCACCCGGGGGGAGTGAGTGTCGCCTGAGTCCAGACACGGCGATGCACTTTAGTGGAAACCACAGAAGCTTGTTTATATGAGACTGGAGGGAGCATGGAAGAGTAACACAAAGAGCCTTTAAAGGAGACCCCCAGGTAGTCAAGAAGCTGCGCGCCGCTGCAGGGCGTCGCCCTATCAGGGGGGCGCACGACAGCAATGAACAGAGTGACAAGTTCCTGGACCGTTAGGGACCCTAGAGCTGTCGAAGAGGGAGAATTCTTGGTGTTTGACAACACCTGACATACTTTGGGACCGCACTAGCAGTTGGTTCAAAGGTTCCCTGAATGGTCAGCCACCTCCCCAGGACTCTCTAGGCACACCCCTTCCACCGCGATGGGCTACCATCAACCCGCCCCTAGGTCAGACAGCTCACACCTGAACAAGTCCCCGCGCGCACCCTCTTCGGGTGTTGGGGCTTGGGGGAAAGGTGAGAGCTGCAGAAAGCTGAGGTGATGGGGCTTGGGGGGAACCACCGAGAACCGCTAGGTAGGAGCCAAGGGTCCGGGTCGAGCTCCTGCTCACCTCGCTCACTGCTCTGGATGTAGCGCACGATGTCGTCCAGGTCCAAGTCTTTGGTCTCGTCGAAATTGTAGGCAGACGTGTGCAAACCCTCCTCCTGAAAAACCTCGTGGACCCCCTCCAGGGTGAAGTAGCAATTCCTCTCGAGTTTGTCGTCGCTGTAGACCAGGGCAGCGCGGCTCCAATGGTGGTGGCGGAACAAGGCGAGCATCATCTCGCCCATCTTGGCGTAGGCAGGCGCCACGCGCGTGAGGTGCGAGTACTCCGTGTCCTTGTGCTGGAAGCCGGCGGCCAGCGCTCCTGCAGACAGCATCGGCAGGTCCCAGTGCGACGCCAGCCGGGCCACCGGCGCTGCCGCGTACTCACACACCGGCCCCAGGATGAGGTCCGGCTTGGCGCCGCGCGCTGCCGCCACGCGGTCCACCAGGCTGAAGAGCGCACGATTGCCGCAGTCCGAGTCTTCGTAGGCCACCTGGAAGCGAGTGCCCGGAGGCAGAAGCCTCCTCCCGGTGCCGTTGCCCTCCACGCTCCGCAGAGCATACTCGATGGCCGGCTTCACCCGGGCCAGCGAGAACAAGTACGAATCGTCCCGGGGCAACAGCACAAGCACCTCGATCTTTTGAGCCGCCAGCGCCTCTCTCTGCCGGCGCCCGCTGCCTGGCCCGGTGTCTCTACCGCCACCACTCGCACCGCCAGCCAGCAGCGCCCGGGCCAGCAGCACGCACGCCGAGAAAGTAACCAGCAGCAGGGACCGCATCGTGTTGCCAGCAAGTCCTCGCCTTGGCCGCGGCTCGCCCTCCGCCCCCCGCCCACCCTGCCTCTTTCCTCTGTCCCTGTGCCCCCTTGGGCGCTCCAAGTAAACAGAATACCCCCGTGAGTAACGCGCCAAAAAACAGAGAGGAAGACTCCTCTGCAGTGTCCCTAGGTTTTCAAAACTAAAAAAGCAAAGAAGGAAGGAAAAAGAAAAAAAAGAAAAGTTCGCCGAATGGAAACCTGTGCGTCTGTAATATACATATAGACTTATTATAAATATATATATTCTCCCTCCCTTTGCACATAGGCTATTTGGCTTAGAGGTGGCTTCTTATTTGGGCGTTGCTAAGGTTGCGTTTGAAGGCGTTATTTGTAAAAGAAAAAAAAGTTAGACTTGTCCAGGTGCTTGTAATTGACGGTGCACCTCCTTCGCGTTTGATCCCATTGATTCGCGCGGGTTCCTGGATCCATAGCCGGTGTTTAAATAGCGTGGCAGCGGCGGAACGCGTTACCACACATGGCGCGCCTAGGCCGGGCTTGTCTCTGCAGCGGGTGGGGTGGGTGGGGGTGGGGAGGGGTGGGGGCTGGGCTGGGGAGCCTCTCATTAACATTCTTACATCAGGGCTCCTCCCCGCACCCCTGGCCTACTCGCTGTTGCCGGGTCCCTAAGCCCCAGTCCCTGCCGGTGCTCAGCTTTGGCCCAAAGCCGCAGCCTCCCACGTCTACACCCGCGGGAGCCCTCGCCGCGTAGCGCGACTCTAAGGTCCCCGCCTCTCACTGGCTCCGCTCTCTCTAGCCCCCGCTTTAAAAAAAAAAAAAATGTATGAAAGGAAAGGATGTTTGAAAGGAAAGAATTGCGCGCGCGCACATGCACAAACGCACACTCACACACACAATCTGCAAAAGGGGGCGGGGGTGTCTCCAAATGGGTAACTTCGGTGCAAAATTCCGAAAGTGTCACTTGCTCTCACCTCTTTTCTTGCTCCGGCCTCGTTCTGTCTGGATGCACCCAGTTCTGTCCCGCGCCTGACCTTAAAGGTCCCCGGAGCAAGGTCAGGGAACCAGGAACCCATTGCAGGAAGATTCATTTGCGGACCTTGTAAACCCATCTGGCCGGGGCGGTTTCCACACCCGTCCCTCCCCCACCAGGCGTGGGTCCCCTCCCTCCGGGCTGCTGGGGCACGCTAGACTCACAGCGGCGCAGCCGTCGCCGAGTCTCGGGGCACAGACCCCCTCCGCAGGGTCACCGAGACCAGAAAAGCGAAACTTGTTGCTTCCGATTATTCCACTCCAGGAAGTGTCACGGAGTTTGAAAAGCATCCTCCCCACCCCCCGCCCCAAAGGTTCTGTTTGCTAAACCTGGCAACTAAAAGAGACTGTCGTCCGTTCCCCACTCCCACCCCCCACCCTCAAAAAAATCTTCCCCCAGAATCCCTAAATACCGAAAAGCAGTCTGCTCCAACCCCAGTGCTGGGAGATCCAGCCTGTTCCAGGATGCCGGAGATTCTAGGATGCCCAGAAACGTCCTGCCTGGGAGACCCAGTATTCCCACTGGTCACAACTACCACAGCGATGCCGACGGAGTTGAAACGCTTGTGAGGATGTCCCAGATCAGAGGCGCGGCGCGCAGGACCGCGCAGCTGCGCAGGTCCAAAAGGACCTGCACCCTCTTTTCGTGATCACGCAGCAAAGACATTTGCAGTGGGAACAGGCTGTATTGCACGAGGTAGTTGTGAAACTAAAGTCCCGCAAATTGAAGTTAAGTTTGAAATGTTTTAAAATTTTTCTTTCATTTAGCTGGGCGTCGGCGTGTGCATAAATTCTTAGTCTAAAACGTACGCCCTCTTTCGGCAGAAACTTGCACGCGATTTTTCACCGGCTGCCCTGGGAGCTGCCTTTTTTTTTTTTTTTTTTTTTTTTTTAATTCCGAGACCTCTAAAGTGTCTTTGCTCTCATCTGTGGCTATGAAACGGCAGATTAAGGTGTCCGGGGACATAGCAACTCCAGGCATCAGCATTCTCTCCATCGCCCTTTCTAGCAGTGAAAATGCCATTTAGATTTTAGCTCTGCATTGTGGCCCCTAAACCTTCACTGTAAGTAGAGCTTCTAAATCCTTGGTGAGCTTTTGTTTATTTAATTAGAGCTGCTAACCAGTACTAAAAGAGGCTTCCATATAAAAATTAATTCTGAAGAGTTATCCACGCACTTTGGAAGCTGACATTTAGTGCTTCCCAGCAATTAAATCCTTCCTGAACTCTTGGGAAAGCAAACATTTGTTTATAGGCTCATAGTTATTTAAGAAAAAAAAAAAGACAACAGCTAAATCCTGGATTCCAAAGGTCTTAGTGGATTTCAACTGGTTGCCAGGAGACATGAAGGACGGAGGTTTCCCGTTACCACCCGGTATGCCCTGTGTCTGGGGAACACAGGCCAACAGTGATACGATTCTGCAATGTACGGTGTGGGCTCCCTAGTAGAGTGTGAGATTTCAGTGGCACCCGGTATAAGTGCCTCTCGCTTCTCAGGCCTTGCCCTGGGGTCAACAGCAGGGCAGTGCAATTACATTATGGCTAAGACCATAGCCTTCCTGTGCCCTTTAGGTAGGAGCGCTCAGTTTTCCAGTTTGTTGCTAAAGAGCACATGCAGGAGGAATCTGTGGATCTACCCAGTAAAGGAGAGGGGGCCACAATGTTGCTCCCCTTGTATTCAACACAGCCTTGCAGATTCCAAATGAACAGAAGCTGTTTTTTTATATTTCAAACGCAAACAAGCACGAGATTATAAACAGTAACACAAGCCTATGGGTTTGAGTGTAAGTAGGGTTTGTTTGCTTTCCATCAAAGAGTTCTTTAGGCAACCAGTTGGAACTATCATGTGTGACTATCATGTAGTTCTGCCATCTTAAGCTGGAAAACACATCTCTGCTTCTGTAGTTGAAGAACCGTAGCCCAAAGAGTGTACATGCTATGTTTAAATACCTCTTTGTCCCCTGCGATTTTTTTTAATTGGGAAAGGTCACCTGTAATACTATGTAAAACAGGGTTGGTAACCGAGCTGGTTCCCACTGTTAAGTGATATTCTTTGTATCTCACTTATAACTGGACCTGGTGACACAGGCCTGAAAGCCCAGCTCCTTGGGAGGATATCAAATTCAAAGGCTGCCGGGCTGTAGTATGATTCAAGGCCAACCTGGGCAATTTAATGTTGTAAGGTCCTGTCACCAAATAATAGAGGAAAGAAAGAAAGAAAGAAAGGAAGGCAGGCAGGCAGGCAGGCAGGCAGGCAGGGAGGGAGGGAGGGAGGGAGGGAGGGAGGGAGGAAGGAAGGAAGGAAGGAAGGAAGGAAGGAAGGAAGGAAGGAAGGAAGGAAGGAAGGAGAAAGAAAGCTGGGGATAGAGCTCAATGGAATATTTACCTAAGATAAATTTCAATGCCTACTAACACACAAACACACACACACTTACTCACACACTCACACACACACTCACACACACAGTCACACAGACTCAGATACCCATACACAGAAACACAGACTCTCACACATACACACACTCACACACATACACACACTTACATACACACACACACACACACACACACATAACCTCTTATGTAAAAATAAATTTTCAGGGTTTCCAGAACAGTAAAACTGAAAATAATACCACTTGGTAATATAACCTTTGTGATATTTTAATTATAAATGTTAGCAAAACAAGAGAGGGGGGATGGGGAACAGAAATAGCTTTGGACTCAGGTTTTAAATATTGTTCCTTTCAAGGGAGGGGGCAAGTTTTTCACATTCAGAATTCAATTATCAACTTCAATTGTCAAAGAAAACAAAGGAATAAGATTAGTCAGTTGAAAACCTAAACCCATTAGAGTTAAATGTGATGTTACAGAAATTCATAGACTTTTATAGAATTTAGAGATGTTTTCATCAATATCTGAGAGATATTTTGTTTCTAGTTCTGTGGAGTATGTATCCAGATGTTTCTCAGCTATCACCAAGAAAGACTACCATGTGGAGAAGTTACCATGATTCTTTGAAATGCAGTTAAAAAAAATACCTGGGACTTTTATTCTATAAACCCCCTGCCTCAGAACCCCTACTAAAATCTGTAAAGTGAGGGTCCTTGCAAATTCTCAAAGGTCCTTCCTTCTTGTTCAGCCAATCCTGAAGTCACACTAAAGAATACCACAGTGAAGCTTTAACCCACAAGAACATACTTTCTGGAGACAGAATTGTTGAAAACACACTTCCCCCTAGAGGCAGAAAAGATAAAAGGACAAGACACATAATCCAAGAACCTTTCTGTAGTTTAATGAGCACTGAGACTTTCAGTTTGTTTTTTGTTTTTTTTTTAACAGACAGTTGATGTTTTAGAGGAGGCTATTCAAGAAGTGAGAGAGAAATAAGTGGACACAGAAAAACTTAAAGTAAATGTTTGCCTCTGGGTTTCCGTTCTCCTTGGGGGACTCCATTAATTGACCCCTTTCTTCTTGTATACAAATCTGTGATTTTTTGGCCCATATTACAAATAATAGTAAGTATGTATTTTTATTTAAATTTATGACTCAATTTACTTAGAAACTATAGTTAAATGTGGCTTCAATGGCTTCTCTTGAAAGTGCAGAGCTTTCCATCAATTACAACACTGTTTTCATTTCTCTGAAGATGTTCTAAGACACAATGACAGTAGAAAGATTTCTGAAACCCGTATCTATCACCCATCTATGGCTTGGCCTGAGTACTGACATAAAAAATGCAAACAATATAGTATTGTTAATTTATAGGCAATTAATCTAATGTAAAAAAACAAGTATATGGGCCAGAGAAATGTATATAAATGTGCCTTCCCCAAACCTGATTATCTGAGTTCAATTCTTTCAGATACATAGAGTGGAAGGAGACAGTGGTCTCTCATGAGTAGCCTTGTGATCTCCACGTATGTCTCATGGCACACAACTCCCCCCCACACACACACACAAAATATGTAAATGCAAAAAATTGAAACATATGTGCTTTAAATTCATA